TAGAGCTGTCCTGTCACTGTAAGAACCACAAGCATCTGCAAAGATATATAACAACAATCAGCAATTTATTTTCATGAATCCTTTAACTGTATGCAGAATGCCAAAAACGTAACAATGAAAGTGAAGCAAGTATTTTACTATGCACGTGAGAGAAGACAAGAAAAAAAAAAAAGTAACGATACCTGATCATCCAACCAAGCAACACCCACAGCTGCACTGTCAATGGACCACTTTCCATATACTTTAAGCTCTGATTTGACCAACTTTGCAACCTGAACTTTCCGATCCCAAGCAAGTGCAAGCAACGATATTCTCTCTGCTGCTTCTGCAGAAGTACTTTCTGCAACACATTTATCTCTCAGTAAACTGTCAACATGAAAATTTAAACAAACTCAGAAAATCCATACCCATTGAAGAACCACGAGATGGCATCATACATTTCCAAGCAGTGTACGGGATGGAACCTTCCCGAACCCCATCCGGCCTGGAAAGTTGAGCATATACTTCTAAAGTGGGAGTGAGCCTTACCTGTAACGAAGACAAATATCTTCAACATATGGGGAACAATAACATGTCCACAAAGAAGAAAGCATCAATCACAATATAAATGGTACATGGAATTTGTGCAATCATCTGAGAATTTCATACCACCAGTGCAGTTTGATGGGTGACAAATATGACCACACCTTCTTCAACCAAAGAGGACCCCTCATTGAAGAGTTTCCAACCTGCATCTGCCCCAACGACACCTCCCATCATGCTACCAATACTGCTGGTTGTAGCCGCAGAGTTTCCCTGAGAGTGAGAGGATGGCAAAGCACCTCCACAAGATTCATCGAAAAGAAGAGGAGAAGCTGATAGTACTACACCCGTTCTTTGTCCATCAAGGAGACACTAATTTAATCAACAAACATTAAGTTATAAACTTGAGGGGCATATCACCATTGCCTATCATGTATCAACTTTGAATAATGTATATATAATATTACAGATACATCATTATTAAAAAGAATGATGTCTTACCTGAGTTTTAATGGAGAACCTATTAAGCAAGGGAACCACTGAGCAAGCATGTAACAGAACCAGGCCCTTACAATCACCGGTAACTGCTTTAAATTGACGAGTGACCTGAGAATCCTGCCCTAAAAATAATGTATGTACTACCGGTGCAGTGTGCTCTCCAGTAATAACTTTCGCTGCAGATGCCTTCTGTACATCCCAAACTACAATATGACCATCACCATAACCAGCTAAGAGCAGATCACCTTGCTGGTTGAAGCACATGGAAGTCACTGAGGCATGAGATCGATCGCCAAGCAAACCAAGCATAACCATCTGAAATATACATAGTATAGGTCCGAAGATGAACTTAGTTAAACTACAATATAATTAGAAACAAAGGTACTACTTTCCATCTAAAATAAGTGGGGATTTAGGCAATGAAGGAACAGTTTAGTAAACGCATAACTAGGAAAAAGAATACATATACATAACAGTTTGGTGACCATTTTAATCTTTCAAGCACTTAGGTGGAATCACCTTTAGTTCTCAAAGACATAAGTATAAAATTACTACTATTTAGAAGTGCTAAAAAGTCATTAAAGAAAATTTCTCTTTAAAAAGCCAATAAGAAGTGGTAGAATAATCAGAAGTGGATCTGAGACAAAACCATCTATCAAAAATCATTAAACTTTGTAATGTTCTATTCAAGACAATTTCCACTTGTCCCAGCATAGTATTTTTTCTTTTCGGACTCAGTTATTTCTGTTAATTTTACAGATTAGACGTTGATTGAGTAAATACAAATTAACCCTCCTTGGCTGCCTAAAGGCTTTACTACACACTACTTTATACAATTTAAATACTTTCTTTGAAAGTTCTTCACCATAATTTTCATTTTCCCCATAACAGGTCAATGGTAGTGTATTTTTAAGCTGACGGCACAGATTTGAAGATAATAGAAATTCAATGAAATGCATCTAAATGACAACAAAAGCAGTTTGAGTGATTTGCAGACCTTTGAATCCATATTTTCATGATGATGAGCAGAGTATTTACTGGGCACAACAACAATGACCCCTTTGGACATTCCAATAGCAATAAAATTAAGATGCACCGCCAAGATTTGTGGGGAACCATGATCACGCCTAAATGCCTGGGATCCAATAGTCTGCGTAATAGTGTTATTGGCGTTAACATCAAAATATCCCAACGTGGTTGACCCTCTCCTGACACCTTCAAGCCTCATGGGTTGAGCAGCCGCACCCTCCTCCCAATGCAGACCAGTAGATGCCTGCTTCTTTTCGAGTTCCTCTGCCAATTCAAGAGGCTTCATGGAAGGCCGTGATTTCTTTTCAGCTCTTCTACTAATCATCTCGCTCTCCAACTGCCCAATTCTTTCTTCTACAAGCTCCGAAATGTCACTTATAGAACTGGCATCACCACCACCAACAGTGCTCACCACATCATCTTTACAGCTAGACAGACCATTGTCCGAATTCTCCATCTCCAATATCTGAACCTCCTCCATTTGTCCATCCTTATCAGACTCAGGTGGAGAAGAAACATTATTTTCACTAGAATCATCATCACCAGTAACAGAGGTAACATTTTTATTTCTATCCATATCAGAAACATCTTCTGAACCTGCAATTGTAGATTTTTTACTCAAATTCAAATCCTCCTCAACAATAAGTGACGAGGAATCAACCAGTTGTTCGGTATTCAAATTAGAACTGGTATTTAAATGTTCTTCATCAGCATCACTAGTCATTAATTCTAATTTAGTATCTTCATCTTTACTGCAAGGCAAATTTGATGATTCTTCGCTAACACTTACTTGAGCAGATTGAAAATCACCCATTTTCTCGTCATCTTCCTCCAATTTCTCGCTGGACACGCTAATTTCATTGGAAGATACAGAAAAAATTTCGTGATCATCACCATCCAGAACCTTCTGGAGCGTCCCACTTCCTGCTCTCCGCGACTTTAAGGCGGCAGCATGTGGAGTGGGCACCGGGCGGGAGGCGGCGGCTGCAGCCGCAAGCGCCGCCCCCGGTTTTGCATTGGAACGCACTCCACCAAACAAGGATGGCAATTGCCTAGAAGATGAAGAAGGAACCCTCCATAAAGGATCAGCTGTTGATTCGTTAGTTTTGAGGCGAGTGAAGGAACTAGTTTTTGGTGGTTTTGTGGAATCTTGTGAAGAAATTGAATCATTTCGGTGGTGTGATTTGGGGAGGGAGAGATCTGGGTGGTGAATAGACGGCGGTGATGATGGTGGGGTGGAGGAATCGGTGTCGTTGAGAATTTCGTCTAGGGTACGGTGAGGGACTGAGTTAGAGTCGTCGTCGGAATCGGAGGAGGGGTGGGAGTCCAGAAAGGAGTCAATGTCGAGTTCCATGAATGACTTTGTATTGTTGTATTTCTTGGTCATTATATGAACAAACTTGTTCTACTTGTTTGATTCTTATTTCCCAAGCTTGTTCGATCCCTTGCATTCAGAAATCTGAAAAGAACAACTTCAAAGAGATTTGGTTTGCTAGTTCTGACTCAAAGCTAGAATAGAGATCGAAATCAGTAACATCTTTTGGCAAACACTCTTGCAGTCTTGCTTGTTGCCTCAATTTATTTAAAAAAAAAAAAGACACAACAACAATAGTATAACAGTATAATATATATTTTAGAACTGAAAATTTTTGGCAATGGCCAATTATTGGTTTTGAGAAAGTGAACCTAAGAAAAAAGGTCAGGGAAAAAAAATGAAAGAAACCAAACATTTAAATGCAATTAGGCGTGAGGATGTATTTGTTTTATTATTTTTGATAGTATTTTTGAAAAAGTTTATTATGGATTTGAATTTGAAAATATGTTTGATAAGATTAATTTTTTAATCTCTTATATTTATCAATTTAGTTAAACACCTCCTATAATAAAAGTTTTAAAATTAACAAAAATATCTCATTCATCCATTAAATATCGATAACTGAGTGTTAGCTGTCGAGAATATATAGGTGAGTGAAGATATTTTTATCAATTTATAAATTTTTATTATTAGAGGTGTTTAGTTAAATTAATAAACTTAAAAATTAAAAAAACTAAATATTTTAATTTAAATAAAATAAGGTTGAATTTTAAAAATAATGAAAAAACTACGTAATTTGAATAGGATAGGATTGGAATTATAAAACAAACACATAAATAACGCAAGAAAGTAATGTAATTAAATAAGTAAAAATGGTAATCTTCGAGAAACCTGATTTGACTCAATAGAAGGAAAATGATAAAATTACCGAAAAGTGTATACTGAAATTATGCATTGAATGATGTGGTAAAATCATAACTATTTATTAGTATTAATTTATAATAAATCAATGATCAAGATTTTATTATGTAATCTGATGCACAAATTTGGTGCACACTCGTGATAACTGTAGCATTATTCCTCGATAGAAATCACTTTTACAGTCCTTCGATGTGTTAGACTGAGAAGTAAAAAGAGCTAAAATCAAGCATTTTTACCTAAAGAAGATGGAAAAAGCTTCGGACACGTGTTTTTTTTCCTGTGAATTAAAGAAAGAGAGATGAGATGGAGGGAGAAAACTGAGCAGTAGACTTCAAAAGGGTTTAAAGAGAATTCCTTCATTTTTCATTTTTCAACAATTAAAATTCAAAATAACAACATTTGGGTCTAGTAATATGTTCGTTAAGCAAGACAAGAAAATAAAAAAAAATAATAATAAGTGAATAGAGGGGTATTCCCGTCCTGGCAGTCTTATATTTGATTAAAAAGCAGTAGCTTCACTGGCACTGGCTAGCTAAAATTAAATTAACTGAGTTGCTAAACGCTGCGGTTTAGTCCAGAGTCCAGACCAATTGGGCATAATGACGCCAAAAAATTAAAAAATCTTTTAGCATATTCCAGCTATCCCTTGTTTGTTCCTACAACTAAGACTCTCTCTCAACTTGTAGGCCGTCAAATAATCCTGAGGTTCATATCTACTGTTAGACGCCTCAGGAGCCCTCAGCCATTATTTTTTTTGTCACGTGGAAAGCACAACTGGCTTCAAATACTAGTACAAATAGCGGCTCCCGGCGATCTTCATTCTCAGAACCAAGTTAGTTTGACTAACTGTAGCCATAGCACTTGAATCAGCAGGTGAAATATATGTGATTAGTTTCGTTTGAGGTCTTATGTCTATCAGCATTGATGGGTTCTTGATATATATTATCTCCTCACTGTAATGATCTTCTCTTGCTTATTCTTTTTCAGAACATAATATCCGCAATGGCAAGTGTAGCTGCTTCAAGCTTTGCATCGAGAAGTACTTCACCTTTCCACCATGGACTAGCCTCGGGATCTGATACGAAAGGATTACAGATGAAAATTGGATTAATGAAACAAACCATGACCCACAATGGACTAAGGTGTTTAAACAAAGAGGATCAGTTGTATATCAAAACCAAGGCAAAAGTAAACAGCATGCAAGCTGAGAGGAAAAGGTTTAGAACAGAGAAGGAAAGGACCAAGGGACCAATTGTTTGTGGAAGTGGCATGAATTTGGTATTTTTGGGAACAGAGGTTGCTCCATGGAGCAAAACTGGAGGCCTTGGAGATGTTCATGGAGGTCTTCCACCAGCTATGGCCGTAAGCTTACTTTTCTCTTTTGCTTCACTGTTACTTCGATTAATCACTTTCATCAAAATTTTATAGTGATTGGGCATATGTAGAATTTTTATTGAGTGTATGATGGACAAAATTGAATCCTTCTACAGGCTTTTGGGCACCGTGTCATGACCATCGCTCCCCGTTACGACCAGTACAAAGATGCTTGGGATACAGAAGTTGTAATTGAGGTATAATGGTATATTCTTATCAATATATACACAATTTGGCTTTTCTTTCTTTAAAAAAGGAGCTTTTTTAGTCTGAGGAGCTTTTTGTGCTTATATTATAAATTGACTATAGGTTAAAGTTGGAGACAAAATTGAAATGGTTCGCTTCTTCCATTGCTACAAACGAGGAGTTGATCGGGTTTTTGTGGATCACCCTTGGTTCCTTGAGAAGGTAGTTCCCTGTTTTGAATCATTGTCATTCTATGAGTCTAAAATTTGATGGCGGCTGCCTCTAAGTTATATTTTTTTGATGAATGAACTCAAGGTATGGGGGAAGACTAAATCCAAAATCTACGGGCCTATAACTGGAGTGGACTACCAAGACAACCAACTTCGATTCAGTTTGTTATGCCAGGTTGACAATCTTTGCCCTGTTGGAAATGTTGTTCTAATCTCTCCTGCTTCATATTAAGATCAACTTTTGAAAATCAGTTGCTTAAAAATTTAATTGTATAAATATGGGATATTTTCCTTCACCATTTTTGGAACTCAAAATTAGTGTGCCCAAAATTCATAAAACAGAGATTATTTTATCAGCCTGGGAAGTAGGTTGTTTTGAAGGAAAAATCTGCTCGCAACAGAAGAAACACAGCAGATTTATATACTAAAGTTAGATGTTTTGTTTCAGTAAATAATTGCATTATTTGCAAAAGCGTACAATGTATTTTTGTACCAAATATATTGCTTAATTTTTCTACTAACCCTTCAAATGGTTGTTTAAAACAACCAAATAGCTGTGCCACTTCGTAGTAATTGGCATCAAATGTAATGTTTCTTGGTTTCAGGCGGCTCTAGAAGCACCAAGGGTACTGAATCTTAACAGCAGTAAATATTTCTCGGGACCATATGGTAAGGCCTCTGTGATTCTTGAAACCAGCAGGGTTTGCTAAACAACATCAATTATGAACTGTTACTTTGATCTCCTTGTGTGTAGGAGAGGATGTTGTTTTCATTGCCAACGATTGGCATACTGCCCTTCTTCCATGTTACCTCAAATCTATGTACAAAGACAAAGGAATTTACAAAAGTGCCAAAGTAAGGAGTCTTGCCTGTATGTAGCATATTAAAAATTATGGCTACCATGTAAGGTACTTGAAAGCGATTATTTTGGTTGGCAGGTTGCTTTTTGCATCCACAATATTGCTTACCAAGGAAGATTTGCATTTGCAGACTTTGCACTTCTCAATCTCCCTAATGAATTTAAAGGCTCTTTTGATTTTATTGATGGGTATGGTTCTATTAGCTTAGAGTGGAGAGTTGTTGAAGGTTGAAACTGCTATGCCGCTAATCCTATTCTACAGGTATGATAAGCCCGTGAAGGGTAGGAAAATCAACTGGATGAAAGCTGGAATATTACAAGCAGACAAGGTGTTAACTGTGAGCCCACACTATGCCCAAGAACTTGTTTCTGGCGTAGATAAAGGAGTGGAATTGGATAACATACTTCGTAAAACTGGTGTTACTGGAATTGTGAATGGGATGGATGTCCAGGAGTGGAACCCCTCCACTGACAAATATATAGGTGTTAAATATGACGCTTCAACTGTAAGAATCTTTTAAGTAGTTTTTTCTCTTCTCAAATAACAAATATTCTAAATCTTTGGTAGATAAATAATTTCTTAAATTTTGATATTGTCAGGTAATGGATGCAAAGCCTCTTTTGAAGGAAGCTGTCCAAGCAGAAGTTGGGTTACCAGTTGATAGAAACATCCCTGTCATAGGCTTCATTGGTAGACTCGAAGAGCAAAAAGGCTCAGATATTCTTGTAGCAGCGATTCCCCAATTCATCAGAGAAAATGTTCAGATAATAGTCCTTGTAAGTATCACAATAGCAAGCTATTACTCTCTCATAAATGAATATGTAAAATCACTGAGCTGGCATTTGTCATTCTCTCAGGGTACTGGTAAAAAAACAATGGAGAAGCAACTTGAACAACTAGAGATACTATACCCAGACAAGGCTAGAGGAGTGGCAAAATTCAATGTTCCTCTGGCCCATATGATTACAGCCGGAGCCGATTTTATCTTGGTTCCAAGCAGATTTGAACCTTGTGGTCTCATACAATTACATGCTATGCGTTATGGAACTGTATGATGTTCAACTGAAGTTTTCTGTCATCTGCTAGCTCTTGTCGTATGTTACAAGTATTATATGTTTGATACCGTTGCCCTTTGCAGGTACCTATTGTGGCCTCCACCGGTGGACTAGTTGACACTGTACAAGAAGGTTTTACAGGATTCCAGATGGGAAGCTTCAGCGTTGAAGTAACGCCTAATTATATACTATGTTTTCTATAAACAGAGCAACTTAAAAATATTCCTTGTATCTTTGGATGAGTTAAGACTAAATCCCAAATGTTTATCTTTCAGTGTGATGCTGTGGATCCAACGGATGTGAGTGCAGTGGCTACAAGCGTCGGAAGAGCCCTCGCAACATATGGTACTCAAGCTTTGACTGAAATGATAAAAAATTGCATGGCTCAAGATCTTTCATGGAAAGTAAGTAATACTTTGAATTTGTACATACAACAAGGTTCTTGAAACTAACGCCCAGTTTCGGTAGTAACCAATGATCCATACAGTTTTTTAGGCTGATTCATCGTGCTATGTACACAGGGACCCGCTAAGAAGTGGGAAGAGGTGCTGCTAAGTTTGGGAGTAGATGGCAGTGAACCTGGAATTCAGGGTGAGGAGATGGCTCCACTTGCCAAGGAAAATGTTGCTACGCCATAAGGATTCTAAATTCTACGATGTTTTTGTCTTCTTCCTACGTCTGTAAACTAACGTGAAAAGTTATCAATCTAACAGTCTCCTAGTCTACTGAACTTGTGCGCAACAAACCCTGTTATGGGAGTATATGATCTAGAAAATAAGCTTTACCAAATATATGCAATTTCAAATATTTTGAAGGGCTTTAACTGCTCTTGCCAAAAACTAAATCATGCAGCCCTAGAAAAGACATAGCTTTTTGCAAAAACTACACATCAAGGATCAATGGCGTCTGGAACCTCGGCTCACAATTTACACATCATAATTTCCAATTGTTTTCTCTCCTTTTTTCAGTAAGTAGAGAACTTTTTTTCCCCTCAGAAAGGATTGTTTTCAAGAAAGCATCTTTAGCATGCAAAAGTATAATTTATATTCTCAATTGATCCCAAATATTGAGAATCATTCCACAACCGTAACATAATTCGAACATCAAAATATGTTGCTAAGGCTACGGCCATAAAAGATTACTTCCCAAAGTTACATTCTAACTTATCCTAAATCATATATCAACTGTTTAAACTAACACAAGTTCAAAATAAAGGATACAATGTCTTGAGAAGAATATTAAACATACCTTCGAGGTGTGTGTAAAATTGAAGATAAATCTCACGAGTATATCGGCCTAACATATTAAGTATTAACCAATCCCTCCAGGATAAAGGTTCAAAATGAAATTGTGAAACAGAAAAGACTCATTCTAACGAAAATTCAACAAAAAATCAAATTTGCCATTTGGTGTCAGACTCTGGAGTTGATGGCATCCCTTAAATATGTGCCATGAGTAAAAATGATTTACCATAATAATAGACCATAGACCATCACTAGTAAATAAAGAAATTCACCAGATAATATATATATATAACATCAATCCGTGAAGGCTGAAACTTAATCATAAAGGCAAGACGTTATATCAAATTAATGAGTTACAAGTTGGTTGGGACTAAACCACCCCTTGTGGTCTGATGAAGTGAAGGATGGATTGAAGAATTAAAAAGACCAAGGGGCCTTGGTCCTCTTGGATTCAAATTGTGGCAAGGACAAGAGTGACCATCAATTACCGAACCAAAAAAAAAAAAAAAAAGTTGGTTGCGACTTGATATGTGATAATATAGGAATATCCATGTGTGCATTTGTTTGAGTATTTTGAATAGTATTTAAAAAAAAAAAAATAAGAGTCTAGTGATAATAATGAGGTAAGATTTAAAAATTAACAAAAACACTCTCTAAGTTTGTTAATTTCTAAACACCTCTGTAATAAAAACATTAAAAATTATAAAAACACTCTCACTCATCTATTAAATATCGATAGTCGACCACCACCGTCAGAGGGTGGTCGAAGTTGCCGTATCGATGCTCGATTGGCTGGATCTAGCCGATCGTGCACCGAGATGACCTTTTCTAATCAGATTCACTATGAATATTGTCAAAAAATGCTAGATCTACGGCTAGATCTGGTCGCGTTTGGTCATCAACAATAATCGTATCTTGATCGTCAATGACGACCAATTACGGCCAAAGATCTGGCCGTCGTAGATCTGACATTTTCCAGTCAGATCCACTATAGATATAACTGAAAAAGGTTATATCGATACGACCAGATCCAACTGGTAGTGCACCAGTATACCAGATTTCGACTACCTTTCGATGGCGGTGGCCCAAATTAACAAATGTGGGTAAATAAAGATGTTTTTGTTAATTTTTAAATTTTTTTTTAGAAGTGTTTAGTTAAATTAATAAAACTAAGAGTTTAAAAATAATGGAATAAAATAGAATAAGATTTCCAAAATAGGAATTCAAATGTATTTTCAGAATGATAAGAAGATGATAAGTGTAAAAATATTAAAACAAACATACCCACATAACTGAGAAACCAATGTCAGAGAAGTAGCATACTGTCTAAAATAATTTTTAAATTATAGTTCACAATTCCCAAAATATGCACAAGCAAACCATCTGACAAAATTTATTTCACCCCAAGCCAAAAAGCCACACCAACTACATGAGATTAGCAATACAACACCATGCAACAAAGAACCAATCCCATCATAATCCGCTGAATGCATTGGCTAATTTGGCTTCCATATTACATATATCCATCATATATCACCCGTTCTAACTTCTAACCAGGTGAATTATCAACGGTGTAATTGCCATAAAGACAAAAAAAAATTAGTAAGTAATCCACCATACTTAGTTTATTAGTATAGATAAATCTAAATCACACACACACATATTTAGATCCACACCACACAACATTTCTTCATCCATGATTATCTATACCTCAAATAGCATAAGCCGGCCATCAAGCCCGGGTCTACTCGGTGGACTTATAAGTACTAAAGATCACCCCTCATGTAGATAATAACAGTAAAGGACAAACATAATGCAAAGCCCTAATCAAACAGCTGAATCCCATATCTTCGTCACTCTCTTCCTTGGGCTCTTCCGGCAGATTACCCAAAAGAGAGATAGTCATACAACACAAACCCCACATATCCAATACCTATAATTGAAATTTTAAAAAAAGTCAAAGGTTTTGTTATACTACTCTTCTCTTCAGTGGAGGAGCAGCATCAGCCCCAGCCACCTCCTGCAGGAGCGGCAACAGCACCTGCTGCACCACCAACGACCCACATTCATATAAGGTATCTCAATGTTTTTGTTCTCAGCTATGTCGCAAACAACCAGGCCAGTAAGAATCAACAGTAACATTGGCTGCTTTCACCAATTGTAAAATCTTCTCTGCCTATCAAAACTGTCAAGGAAAACCCAACCAATCTCCAAACGTAACTACACTACTTCAAAATATGTTCCAGAAGAGATATCAACAACAGACATTTTTTAGCCATTTATGTTCTGATCAGTTTCCCTATGGTCAAATAAATTGCAGAGGGTACTCAAAATAAATAACAATAAATAAAGTGAAACTAAATGAAAAGAAAATGGATACTTCAAATATTTTTTAGATTTTCTCACTGTTTTCTCGTCAAACAAACTACGGCCTCAGAAAAGAGAATCAGTGAACCCTAGGAGCACAAACCAAGTATAGACTCAGAACTTTAAATTAAGTTAAAAAAAAATTGCAATTAAGCGCATATAATTTGATGATAAGGATACACTGATGGGGATGCCATCATCATGGAGGATCAGACAAGCGTAAGTGCAAGCAAGCTCCGAAACCGACATCGTTTTGACTGAACATAAAGCAACAAATTAATACGATAATCAGTAAACTTTTATAATAATAGTAAAAGATTCTGTCTATAAGGTAAAGAGAAGATCATTTGATTGATTTAAAAATTGCAAGTTGATATTTTCTACGGGAACAAACAGAGAGAAAGAAAGAAGAGTTCTTACCAGAAGAAAGGAGATCAGCCAGTGATTGGTCTGTGGGTGGACATGAAGGTTTTTAAAGGAGTAAACGATTTTTTTCCACCCACATGATGGTTTAATCACAGTTTTTACTTGTAAATTTTTAAAATTCTATTTTACTATTTAAATTTATATTCTATTTTTTATTATAATATCGTTACGATTTTATATTATTATTATTCTCTTTTTCAATCATTACTCATCAAAACCCCTCATATTCTACTTCTGTCAACCCCATTAATTATAGACAATCAAACAATTAAAGTTTATACAATCACACATCCTAAATCAAATTTAGATCATTCCTAACCATTAAAATCTAATCTACCATCAAAAGACTCTTAAGCTTCTCATCTTCAAAGCCTCAACAGCTTCGTTGAGTTTTTGTTCTCCGTTGTATCCGGAATATAAATTTAGAGAATAAAATGAAATTAAAAAAATCAGTTGGTAAGGAACTGTCGTTAAATCTTTATTTGGGTCGGAAAAAAGTCTTTATACTCTTTTTAAAGTAACTGTTACTTGGACTGGGTATTGGTGGTGGTCCATTCAGAACCGTTTAGTATAGGACTGTGCGCTTCAGCTACACTTCCCTGATTATTCATATACGATTTTTTAATATTTTTAGTCTAAGTTGATCAAATTGGATGTAATTTCTATATATATAATTGGATTGAATTAGATGAGATTAAAATTTTATAATTCAATTAAACTCACTAAATTTATATATTGGATAAGATAGAATAGTGTGTTAATNAATTTATTTCACCTCAAGCCAAAAAGCCACACCAACTACATGAGATTAGCAATACAACACCATGCAACAAAGAACCAATCCCATCATAATCCGCTGAATGCATTGGCTAATTTGGCTTCCATATTCATATTCAATCATATATCACCCGTTCTAACTTCTAACCAGGGTGAATTATCAATCGGTGTAATTGCCATAAAGACAAAAAAAAAATTAATAAGTAATCCACCATACTTAGTTTATTAGTATAGATAAATCTAGAATCACAAACACAACATATTTAGATCCACACCAACACAACATTTCTTCATCCATGATTATCTATACCTCAAAATAGCATAAGCCTGGGCCATCAAGCCCGGGTCTACTCGGTGGACTTATACAAGTACTAAAAGATCCACCCTCATTGTAGAGTAATAAACTAGTAAAGGACAAACATAATGCAAGAAGCTCCTAATCAAACAAGCTGAATCCCATATCTTCGTCACTCTCTTCCTTGGGCTCTTCCTGCAGAATTACCCAAAAGGAGTAGATATGTCATACAACACAAACCCCACATATCCAATACCTATAATTGAAATTTTAAAAAAAGTCAAAGGTTTTGTTATACTTACCTTCTTCTCTTCAGGTGGAGGAGCAGCATCAGCCCCAGCAGCACCTCCTGCAGGAGCGGCAACAGCAACTGCTGCACCACCAGACCCCACATTCATAATAAGGTCATCAATGTTTTTGTTCTCAGCTAGCTTCGCAAACAAGCCAGGCCAGTAAGAATCAACAGTAACATTGGCTGCTTTCACCAATTGTAAAATCTTCTCTGCCTATCAAAACTGTCAAGGAAAAACCCAAACCAATCTCCAAACGTAACTACACTACTTCAAAATATGTTCCAGAAGAGAATTAACAACAACAGACAATTTTTAGCCATTTATGTTCTGATCAGTTTCCCTATGGTCAAATAAATTGCAGAGGGTAACTCAAAATAAATAAACAAATAAATAAAAGTGAAACTAAATGAAAAGAATAATGGATACTTCAAAACTATTTTTTAGATTTTCTCACTGTTTTCTCGTCAAACAAACTGCGGCCTCAGAAAAGAGAATCAGTGAAACCCTAGGAGCACAAAACCTAAGTATAGATCTCAGAACGTTAAATTTAGTTAAAAAAAATTGCAATTAAGCGCATATAATTTGATGATAAGGATACACTGATGGGGATGCCATCATCATGGAGGATCAGACAAGCGTAAGTGCAAGCAAGCTCCGAAACCGACATCGTTTTGACTGAACATAAAGCAACAATAACAAGCAACAAATTAATACGATAATCAGTAAACTTTTATAATGATAGTAAAAGATTCTGTCTATAAGGTAAAGAGAAGATCATTTGATTGATTTAAAAATTGCAAGTTGATATTTTCTATGGGAACAAACAGAGAGAAAGAAAGAAGAGTTCTTACCAGAAGAAAGGAGATCAGCCAGTGATTGGTCTGTGGGTGGACATGAAGGTTTTTAAAGGAGTAAACGATTTTTTTCCACCCACATGATGGTTTAATCACAGTTTTTACTTGTAAATTTTTAAAATTCTATTTTACTATTTAAATTTATATTCTATTTTTTATTATAATATCGTTACGATTTTATATTATTATTATTCTCTTTTTCAATCATTACTCATCAAAACCCCTCATATTCTACTTCTGTCAACCCCATTAATTATAGACAATCAAACAATTAAAGTTTATACAATCACACATCCTAAATCAAATTTAGATCATTCCTAACCATTAAAATCTAATCTACCATCAAAAGACTCTTAAGCTTCTCATCTTCAAAGCCTCAACAGCTTCGTTGAGTTTTTGTTCTCCGTTGTATCCGGAATATAAATTTAGAGAATAAAATGAAATTAAAAAAATCAGTTGGTAAGGAACTGTCGTTAAATCTTTATTTGGGTCGGAAAAAAGTCTTTATACTCTTTTTAAAGTAACTGTTACTTGGACTGGGTATTGGTGGTGGTCCATTCAGAACCGTTTAGTATAGGACTGTGCGCTTCAGCTACACTTCCCTGATTATTCATATACGATTTTTTAATATTTTTAGTCTAAGTTGATCAAATTGGATGTAATTTCTATATATATAATTGGATTGAATTAGATGAGATTAAAATTTTATAATTCAATTAAACTCACTAAATTTACATATTGGATAAGATAGAATAGTGTGTTAATCCAAAATATATTTAAATTGGTCAAAAAAAATTATAATCCAATTATTGTATTTCTAAGAATACCTCCCTATGTAACCAGTAATTTACTATGTTGCATTACCCCCAAAAAAATCGTGAACACTTGAAATTACAATTTGGGCTTGGGCTTGGGCTTTGGGCCTAGTGCCTTTAGACCTATCGGGTTTTACGTGTTAACGTTTAACATGAAGGGTAGTGCATAACATGAGGTGCAGGTTGTTTGATTTCTAGTATTTAGCCCAATTATTGCACAGGAAAGAAGTTTTACATTTTAAAATTAAAAGAAGATTATCGAAGTAATTTTATGTGACCCCGAACCGAACCAAACGCACCCTTTCTTTTTAACTTTGTTACTTCAACAAATTGCCTGTCAATAAAAACATATTTGTTACAACAAACTACCGTATCTCTAATTTTAGATTGTGTTTGGTAAAAGATAAACTATTACTATCAAGAATTGGAATTAATAAAAAATATTAATAATTTTTCAAACATCTTATTTACACAGAGATAATTTTTCAAACATCTTATTTACACAGAGAGGAATAAAATAATTAGCCACTAAAGCTGCAGTTGATTAATATATGTTGACTGGATCATTTCATTTATTTAGAAGAAACTTTGGTCAACCAGGTCAAGGTGCATGCATGCTCAACTTTGAAACGAAAAAGGAAAAGACATCCATTGACTCTTTTGTTAGATCCCCTCGGATTCCAAACACATGCTACGAACCACTACTGCAAAAAGAAACAGATATAAAGAATGCCGACTGAAAATGAAAGATGAAATATAAAGAAAGATTATAGTCCGTAAATCAATAAAATAAGAGAAACACAATCTTCTTTTTCCAACTAATCCCTATCATGAACAATGAAGAAAGAAATTACAAGTTAATTGCAAAGCTATCCAAGCTCGCCTTTTTCTTTGACCAATCAATCTTGGTTCAAAGATACAAAATCAATCTTTTGAACCAATTACTTGAAAGAAATATAAACAAAAGAGTTATGTCTTCGGATGCTGTATGCAATCGAGGCATAATCATCTGATAAATTAGTATCCTAGGTAGAATCCAAAGCCAATATTTAGCTTCTACCTTATGACGATAATACATAAATGAATATGATCTTCTTCTACTGCTAACAACTACTTAGACTTTCTCAATTAATTGTCCTAATTAAATGAAACATGTATGATGATGATGAAGATGACAATGATGATAAAGACAATAATGTTGGGCATGAATAGAGATTGAATTGAAGAAAGTTAGTGGAGCTAGCGATGCCTTTATATCTCAACTATGCTCGTTCCTTGAATGAACTTTCTGATGCTTGATTCTTGGATTCCTTCTCTCTCTATGCCAGATGTATATGATAAGGCATCCTTTTCCTGAATCATTGACTTTAAAATGTTTGTTCTTATTCATTTCTTTTTCCCCTCTTGCTCAGACTCTTATCACCCTTTATCCAAATCTTGTTAGTCTTGAAAGAAGACATTATGTTTCTCAACGTCAATTAGGTGGATGAATTTTGTTCAGAGGCTGTTGCAGATGCTTGTGAAGCACCTGTTCCTGTTGCACTCACCCCTATTGTTGTTGTAGTTACACCTGCTCCAACACATAATATATAAATCAATTTCATAGTACATAACATTCTAATATATAACTTGTACGCATTTAGGAAATGTTTAGGACCTGTGCTAGAAGTTGTCACTGGCATAGAAGAAGGAAGTGACAGGATTCCAGTTGTACCATACTGCTGAGGCACATATGGGTACTGCAACATTTGGGGATATTGAACTCCAAACCCTTGAGCTTGAGCTTGAGCTTGACTACTCTGTGCATATTGAGCATAAAACGGATACATATTATGGAACATTCCTGGAGTTCCTGATGACCCAGCAGTGAAGTAAGGTGAGAATTGTTGGCCGCCATAAAGATTGTAGTAATTCTGCAAAAATATATTTAAGCTCAGTTCAAGCAATTCAATTCAATCTTTCTACACCATTTTGCTAAGTACTTAAATCAAGGAGATACTAACCAAAGGGTACATGGTGTCTTGTGAATATCCAGTAAACCTAAAAGTTCAACCCCCAAAAAAAAAGGTTGAAAAGAGGAATAACAACAAACAAATTTGGTTCTTTAGGTTAAAAAAAATATAAAAAGACACAGCATTTGACCATGTTTAATGAATACAATCTAATATCTTACCCATAAGCTGAATAAGGAAATGTGTACTGATTGGTAGGTTGATGGATGTATGCTGTTGAGAAGCTTTGATAGGAAGGCGGAGCTGCCGATCCAGATGTTGGTCTAAATCGTCCAGTACCTACAATTATATTTTTTATTCTCTAATCAAGCAAATTCTTTTATTACAATACTGGATAAGCACTAGTTCTTAGATTGACGTTGAAAACAAAATTAGGGGGACAAAAAACTTGTACTTGCAAAGATAGAGATAGAGATGAATAAAAACAAAATAACATTAAAGAGGTTTGATGCGTTATAATCTATAAATACATGTTCAGAATGATAGGATTAAAACAAAATGAAAGCATTTTAAGAGGTAATAAAATTAAATATCCAACATTGCCATTTTCTCACGTTTCATGATTCATTATCAGGTAAATGTTGAAGGGCTAATTAATTCACGTTTGAATAAAAGTCAATACCCATGGCAATATTCTACAAGACCAAGAATTAAACAAGTCGTAGAAAAAAAGAAACAAGAGAGATGATAACCATGTTGTGGAGTTGGTGGACGAGTTTTGTGTGCACCAAGGGATGCAAGATTGCAGTTTGCCCTCCTTCCATCAATGACCGGTGATGGGTTCTGACATGCTCTCATGGCCGCTTCTGGATCCTTAAATGTGACCTAATCACAAATAAAAAAGAGCTCGCTTTTTTATTATAGCAAAGATTAATTAAGAAAAAAGAAAGAAAGAAATAGAACTTTGCAAAAGAGGCATACAAAGCCATAACCCTTGGATCTCCCGGTGTTCTTGTCTGTGATAACAACAGCCTCAAGGATCTCTCCAAACTGCTCAAAATAACGTCTCATGGTATCTCTTTGAGTCTCCCAAGCCAAACCTCCAACAAAGATTTTGGTAAAAGTTGTGTCATTGTATTCTCCTATATTGTTACCACCCACCATCTGAAATTGTCGTGGTTGAGACATGGTAATAAAACTTCCCAAGAAAACAATACAAAAGAACCCAAATAAAACAAGAAAAGAAGATGAAAAGGAAAGAGAAGAGAAGCCAGAAGCAGAACAAAACCAACAGACCCAAGAAGCCAAATATAGAGAAATAAATGGAAAGAAAAATGGTTAAAAGAAGCGTTTGTTTGATGATGATCACATCAATCAATCAGAAGCACTCTTTTGGGCTCAAGCACTCGTGCAGTTATGTTTGTATTTGTTTGGAATAACCTTGTTCTAGTTGTTGTTTTTCAATTGTTATAACTGTCACTTTTTTCACAACCACAACTCCTCAGATTCCTCAACAACGATACCCCTAACGAGAAAATCATTACTGTTGAGGGTGGTGGAAAGAGAAAGAAAAAGGAAAGCCTAAGAAGCAAAATAATTATATATACAAAAATAATAATAATAATAACAGAAGAGAGAAGAGAGAAGAGAGAGAGAGATGTTATGATAAAAGGAAGAAGAGAAGAGAAGGGAAAAGGAGAAAGACAAAAAAGCTGCAAGTGGGCACACACGACAACAGTAGACAAGGTTGTCCAATGAAATATCAAAGACCCAAAGACCAACCTTTTTTGCTGTATCAACCACTTTCTTTCTCTATCTTATTCATATTATAAACACATATCTGCGTGTGGGTGGGTCTGCATAAACATCTGCTTCGCTGTATTCAACCTTCTATTTCATCTCTCACCTTCTTCCTTCTGTTTATGGCCTATCGAGAAACGATACCTTCAACTCTCTTTCTATTTCTCTGGCTTCAACTCCCTCTCTGCACAGCACCTGCAACTATTCCCTTAACCGAAAAAGTGCAGGTAATCCCCCAAAACCATAACTTTCTGGCACATCCTTCTAAATTCTGTTAAATCTTAATATTAAAATAAGACTTCGCCAACTTGGAGCACCCCTCACTTCCCTTACTTTTTTCTAAAACCCTATACTGCCCCCAACCTTCCACAGCTCACAACAACCGTGTTGCTGTTATAACTGGATTTTGAAAAAGGACTTGACACGTATCCACTGTTACCCTAAAATCTAACCATATCCAACTACTTATCTTTTATTCTTACTATTTTCTTAACGTAACCCATCTAATTCCACTTAAATTCAAACCATAAACTTCGCCAATGGCTATTGGAGGTTCAAATTTGACTCAAAATTTCAGAGGGGCAAATTTGTCTTTACTAGTGGGTAATATAAATATAGAAGGAAAAAAAAAAAACTATTGGTAAGCGCGGTAAGCGGTGCTGTAATGGTCAAATGGTATAGAAAATAGAAAGAGAAGAGTAATAATGGGTAATTAGATCTCAACCAGATATAATTAAAACTCTGGAAGTGAATCATGACTGTCGCTACCACACAACGGCTTTGGACTGTCGTAGAGTTCGGTCAAACCTGCTCTTTTTTTAACCTTTTATTTTTTTAATTCTATAATACTCGATAATTATTTTTCACTTTTTATTTATTTATTTTACTGTCTATTTGTCGGCTCTCTTGTTGGCGGCTACTAAGGCTGAGCCTAACGGAATGAGAATGTGATATTGCCTACCAAACAGGGTCCAAATAAACATAGTTGAAAATATTAAATCTTACATAAAAGAGTTGATAATGACAGCAGCTCTGAATGAATCTATTTATCTGTTTATAAAGTTTCGATAAGTTTAGCCAACTGAATCTCAGCTTGCACGATCACTTAGCTACAATTCATATCTCTTATTTAAATTTTTAATTAACTTATCCAATTTTGTGTACTTTTTTTATTCATATTTTCTATCATCCTTTATAAAGATATATGATTCACTGCAATCGTAACTAATCTATGTACAAAAATCAAAATCTACTTAATCATATTTTTATTTCAAATTGAGAAATTTCTTATATTCATCATTTTATCCACCAATATTATAAAAATAGATATGGTTTTTGCATTTAAAATCAATATGAACAAATGAAAATAGAGAAAAGAATTGTGATTGTCATCTTGTTGATATAATATATACCTACAAGTTTTAACTGGATTAAATTATAATATGAACACCATATATAAATTACTTATAATGTGGTTGATTATATGGATGGCCATTGGGCAGATGGACCCTGACATTCGAATAATCCAACATTAAAATATAAGGTGGGGGCTACGTGCACCACTCAAACCATTTTCCACGCCGCTTCTCCTGCGAACCTTCATTACTTTTTGAATTTTTCCAAATTTTTAAATTTCTATTAATATATTTTTCATAATTCTGAAAGTAAATATATTAAAAATAATATAAATTTAGTATATTAATGTTTGATAGAATTGAGAATTTGATGTTAGATAGATTAAATCAAAATATAAAAAATTTTAAATAATCGATTAAATTAATTTACTCTAATAAAGGAACAAATCTGAGCAGAAAAATGGAGCTAGAAGGATTTCTCTCCACCTTAACTTTTATTTTTTAATTTTTTGTTTTTATCCCACTTGTAATTCTTTAAATATTTCACACTTTCTTGCTTCATCTATCTCGTTCTCTAAATCCTGCTTAAACCTCTATGAAACTGCACAATCTACTTTACGCTATTTTTAGATTTCAACATTTTTTGTTTTAATGATTTGTATTTAGGCTTCGTTTGGATTGGCTGATTCTAAAGGAATGATTTTGTTAAATCATCTTTCGTTTTTTAGGGTTTTAAAATCCCACTTGGTAGGTGGGATTTTGCTAAATCCATTCATTTTAATAAATTGAGAGATTTTGGTAATATTTTAATTTTCTAATACTATCTTTGTTAATAATTTAATATCTCAGTAATTACTCTTTACCCTAATTAAGAAAAATATATTTGTTGCCTTTTTTGAGCTCTTCACATTTACATCATAAGCATTTTCAAAATATACTAGATAGATAATCTACACGTGAGTTTCTATTTATTTAATTAATTATTTTCAATTTCTAATTTGTAAAAAACTTTTTTATTATTTGAATTTCTCTTGATGATTATTTTTATTATTTGTTTAAGAACTTATTGGTGGTAGCTTTATAATTGGACTTCTCTATCAAATATAATTTAACTTATATTTAATTAGATGTAAGTTGAATTTTTGTTGATTTTGTATATTAAGAGTTAAGTTGGAAATTATTTATCAAATTTATAGATTGTATTCATCTAACCAAACATAAGTACTTACAAATTTGAATTAATAATTCATGAATTTTATATTTAAATAAAATAATAAATTTTATCAAATACATGGATTTTGAATCTATGATCGTACAAAATCCATAGATTTTGAAGTCCCTTAATCTAAACGGAACCTTAAGCATAGATCTAATAAAATTAATAATTTTGTATTGGCTTTATTTATAAATTCAACTTGAAAAAAAAAAAAAAAGCAATAATAGATGCACCCACCTATATCATTACATCGATTTATAATTAAAACAAAAATAAATTTAAAATCGGATAGTTCGAAAAATTCTTTCAAGATTTGAAATCAGCTTGATCTCGACAAAATCAATAAATCTCATTCCATATCGAAGAAAATCTTCAAAGTTTCTTGGCCCCACTCGTTTTTCTGAGTTCAGGCTTTAAAAATTTATTAAATTCAGAACATTATGTTTCCAACGAATCAATTCAAATATCATTCAATATATATTCTACAATGTCTGTAGTTAATGTGTATATACGAACAAATTATATATATTTAGAAACAAGAAATTAAAATATGGTAAATTATTATAATAATCCATTAAAGTAGGGGTGATTAAGAGCGTGGCTGAGTGAGGGTGAGTAGTGACAAGCAAGCCGAGCCGAGTAATGAAGTATAAATGCATGAAAAAATGTGGAGAGGGTCTTACACTTAAGTTTTAGCATCCAGATGATGGTGAAGGCTGCAAGTCCAGGGAGTGTCAGAAGTAGCACATGCTCGTGGCAGTGCTTAGTATTATATACCCAAAAATACATTTTACAAGTAATCTTCTTAGTTCTTGCTAGTGTTTGCACCGATGGTTGGATGTTGTTATGGATGGAAATCCAACGGTTATGCTCACTGGTTGGCCCTGCATGTGTGGTCAGTGACTAGAGGGACTTTACAGTTAAACTTGGCCAGTTATGTTTTCTTGGACTTGTATGCTGTTCTCTATCGTTACAACACTAGTGGTTGTGTTGTGTGATTGTGTCACCATCACAAGTGCTATCTTCTTTGATCGTCACATTCCAGACAGACAAGTCAATAGCGCTCGATTCTGTAAATTATGTTGTACTTGTTGCCGTTAAAATTAAGTCCTAGACTCCTACAACATGTCCCGCAATTGCCATTGAGTTAAGTGTTACGTTACATAGATTGCCGCAAAAAAACTTCTGACAGGATCGTTTTTTTTTTTTTTTTTAATTTAGATTTATTCCTTAATCTATAGATATATAAGCATGCATGATGCACAACTTTTGTCAAGCCTGTTATTTCAACTGTTTTTATGCTAATTTGATACCTCTTAATAGTTAATACTACACCCAACCTTGCTTCCTTTTGCTTATTTATTAACATAGGGAAAAGAAAAAAAAAAACCAATTATCATCACTAATATCTGGCGAAACAATGGGTAAATTTGTTTGGTTCAGTGCATATTTTCTAGTGATGCTTCGATTGATTTATCACATTCCCCCAGATCAAAGTGGCCTATATTCAATCTTGTTGCATAACCAAAGCCAGCGTCGACCTCTAAGAGATTTGTGGTCCATGGCCTATAAGCCTAATTCATACAACAAATTACCAGAAAGTTGGGTTGTCTCAGCACATGTCTGTTCTTAACTATTCCACCAAAATATTGGAGGATTAAATTAGCTCACTCACACATCGTAATCCAGCCGAGGACAAAATTAGCTCACTCATAACACATCATAATCCAATAGACCACAAGACTAGTACTTAACTTCTAGTAAACGGAAAAACCTAATGAACATGAACGATTGAGGATGTCAGGGCATTGAAATTTGAGGTGATCAAGTTAGCGCACTGAATATGATAACCGAAAAAAAAAAAAAAAAGGCAATTTATCAGAATTCATAGGCCACAGCGGCAAGATCACTTAACTTCCAGAACTGAAAACCTAATGAACATGAACAATTGACGACGTTAATGCATTAAAATTTGAGGTGATCAATTTAAGGCATTTAATATGATAACAGAAATAAGAATTGTTGGAGATATATCATCAAAGATTCAAAGTTAATAATTATCATTTATAGCATCATCAATTCACCGTCTACCTAAAAGTAAAATACGGTTTAAAAAAAATATATATCACTTAATTACTAAAAAAAAAAAATTATGAGATGGGACTCCGGCGGCAAGTACAGTACTATGCTGATAGAATATCTACTTATCTCTTTCTTACAACAAAATTATTAAAGTAAAGCGACTTCAGTATTTTGGTTGATAACTTACAATCGGTTGAAACAACTGTTAAATTTCTTCTTCACTGATGGTATCCAACTTCGTTTTTCTGGCATGATCTTGTACTGGAACCTGGCCAGAGTTAACAGTAGTAGCAGTTAACCTTCCTTCTGCGCACTCCTGCATAATCAAGCGACATAACTCCGTATTATCTTTGTTTATATCCGCCTTTGCCATCAACTCCTTCAGTTGGCTGGCCGTCATTCGTACCTTAATCCTTAACTTGCATGGTTGTGGAATAAGCCTTTCGACTTCTTCCAGTTCACGATTCACTTGTTCTACCACCTGTTTCTTTCCAAACCTGTTTCCCATCTCTCTAAGTTATGTGATTCTTGGTGGATAAGTCGATATTAATATGGCAATCTCAAAACGTGTATGTATAATGCATGCATGTGGCCGTGTAGATATTCCTTGAGTTCACACTTGACAAAAATAAAGGTTGTCTTAAAGTATGCAACTGTCCCATTAGAAATTTACGCCTCGTACCTTCAGTCTCTGATCAAATGATTTCTGATTTTGACAAAATCGATACCAATATCGGAACAAATCCTAATTTTCTTTGTTTCATGCATGGGTATAGCTTGTAGTTGCTAGGTTTAAGTTAATTTTTAATTAAATAATCAATTAAGCAACATGTTTAATGCATTTAAGATGGTCCGCTATTATCTTAGTTGAACAACTAAAGCATAATCAGAGACAAAGATAAAGTATTTGTACGAAGAGAAAGTTTAGGATGTATTCAATACATGATATTGTCATCCAATTGCGTTTCGTATATTCTTAAGTTGACATATGAGGCAACGTGTCAATCCATACGAAGTATAGAATATAAGTCAGCATATTAAAGTGGGGCATGTTATACACTATAGGATTTCTCTTGCACGACTAGTATGACTTTGAAACGTTGTAGAAATCTGGAAGGATACCCATAATTGTGATAAACGATCATAGACAGCGCCAGCCAACTACTACAAATGAATAAAGTGACGCCCAAGAAGGAGTTATCTCCATGATGCAATGACTTTGGTGTGGTCAACATTCACTTTCAGGATACTCACGTTATAATCTCATATTAACACTAAAAACAAAATAGTGACAATTTACGGTACAATGTAAGAACTTATACCCGGCTGGTAGTGAATGGTGTACAGTAGTTTGAGAAGGTTCTTCCATCAAAATTTAGGGTTTAAAAGTGTGAAAAAAGAATTTTTTTCAAATTAATTTAGAATTATTTTATGTCAATTCGTATTTACATACATACATACATACATACATACATACATATGTATTTTATTTTAGAAGAAAAAGTAGATGGGTGAGTATGTACTTGGGATTAAAAGAAAAAGGCAAATGCTGAGTAAGTGAACTATAATAAAGCTGTTAAGTAGTGAAAATGGTCAAAATAGGGATGCGTTTCTTAACAAGACAACCTTCTTGAACTAAAACTAAACCGAAGCTTTTCTACTTCTTAACTCGATTTGGCTTCTCAAAGACTAGGAAGATAAAGAGACGCCTTTCCTCCTTCTATTATCTTTTTATTTTCTTTTCACTTGCTTTATTACAGCAATTGAAAAAACTTCGCAAGTACAGTTTTACAAAAAATAAATAGGGATTGTAAGATATACATACAAAAATCTACGGGCTTTCCATATGTAATCTTATCACCTTCAGAAATTTTAATTCAAGATTTTAAGAAAACAAGAAGAAGAAATTATAGTTTTAATTTGACTGATTTGGGAATATTAAGGGGTGTTTGTAGTGATATTTTAATTTTAAAATTTTGGAGAAGGGTGTTTTGACGGAAGAGGGGTGGAGAAAAATAATGGAGGTGCATATAGTTCATCCTTTTAGTTTTTAGTTTTTTATTTTCTAGCATTTAAAGATGCCTACGTTATCTATTTCTTTAAATTTGAATAATAATTAGTAGATGATGATAATTTAAACGGGAAGAGCGTATTTTCGATTCTATTTTACTTAAGAATTAAGAAGCTATAAACAAGTAAATTATGTATAAACTTCTGAATAACTAAAATATTTAAAAATTGCTGTAAACGTGTTAAAGAACCTACCATGAACCACCATAAAACCAACAATGAAAACGCTATGGTGTTAAATAAATGACTGGTAAAATGATGACAGTTGGACCATGAGGCAATGACTACTTATTCAAAATTGAAGTAGTTTTGCCACCCCTAATCCTACATCATTGACCATCTGCTTTTAAGGTAATAGAAATCATTAACTCGTAATTCACGCGGCCAAAATTGAATTACCACTTAAAAACCGTGAACTTTAGTTTTACTACCAGTTGGCACCTTCCATAACACAAGTCTTAGGGATCATTTATACACTTTATAGCTCAACAGTCAAAGTAATATAAAATAATTAATTTCTTAACTCGCAATTGACACGTCAAATACAGCATTCAGCCATATCCCAAACGGATTTTAATTTGGATTAAAATCTATTTCTTCCCACCAACATCTGTATAGGAATCGACAAATGATAAGTAGCCAATTTGCTTCATATATATATAATCTAAAGTTACCCATCTTAACGGGGTTTTAATCATTTTAACAGGGGATTTCATAATGGTTTGCCGATAAGGGGGTCTTAATAGTTTTCAAACATGAAGTGATAACAATTTTCAAGAATCTGTAAGCAAATGTATAATAACTATCCAAAAGTTAAAAAGTTTTCTCTTATTCTATCATCATTGTATGAGATTTTATTAAAACCAAACTTTATTAAGCCTAAATAATGAAGCTTGTTTTCAATTTAAATTAAGTTCCAATTGATCGCTGTCTTATCTGACGTTGCAACGCGGAACAAAAAGCATCAACTTGATGTCTTAAACACTAATCTTTAGTAAGTTCTTATGGACAAAGGTCCCCCACCTTTTGCTAAGCCCAAAACTTTCTTACACTCGTTTCATTCATCTTTCTGGTTAAGGCCATTTCCATCATCACCAGTAATTAAACAAAGTTTTCAAAGGTCATGAGTGCCACCGAAAGATATGAAACGTTATACATGTCCTCATACCTCATTCATTAAACAATAGGATGAAGATCCCAACATTATACACTTTAATTACTTCTTCTTTTATTCATTTTCAATGTTAAGTTTCGCGTTTCGAATTAAAATTGTAACCTTATCATTCATTTTTGATGTTTTTATCGTTTGATTTGTAAAAAATAATGGCAGCTGTCATAAACTCGTAATAATTGCAAGTTAAAATATGACAATGTCGTAAAAATTCTTTCCTTTCAAACAACTTTTAAAAGATTCATCTCAATATTAAAAATTTAATGATCCTTTTGTAGGAACTAAATTGCGTTCTTATAAGTTAGAACTAACGTTAATGGGGTCAGCTTTCGTTTTCACCGGGATTTATTACAATCTCTTGATGTCTCTCCTGTCCTTACATCTTCCCATATAAGACCTTTACAAATACCATAACGGTGTCGTTCCATGCAGTCGGTGTTTGAAAACGACGTCGATTGTTTGTTATAGTGTACTTCTTCGCCACTTGCAGTCTTGCAGGGTAGACAGATCCGCAAATAGATCAAAGTGGACCCTCAAACCATAATCTCCAAACCTTTACGTCTTTTAATGCAGAAGTCAGTGGGCTCCACTTGTAAAATCAAAAGATTAAAAAGAATGTAAAAAATGATGTAGGCATTGACTATATAACCCTTGATGATCAAGATCCACCGATCCAGTCAATTTCTCAACATTTTTTTACCGGAAAGTTGACCTATGTATACCCAGCTACCTAATTATGTCTATTGCTTAATGGTCACAACATCCTAGATTCCCGACTTTTCTGATTTTGGCTTATATCAACGGTCAAGAATCGTCAATTTAACATTGATCATCGTAAAGTGGGGTCATCCTCCTATAAAAACCACAAGATTTAGATTACAGGGATGGCAAAGTAAAGAATATCTGCGTCGGTTGGATATGGACTTGAGGAAACCCTCAAGAAATCTCGGACCGACATTAATTCATCAAGATTCTCTGCCATAAATATTAGTTCATAATCTTCATCCTTTCAACCCAATAAGAGAAAAGATCATTGTTTAGAGACTGCAGTCCAGATTGTGAGATGGGAAATTGTGTGTTCAAAGGATTTGAAGAAATGGAAGAAATGATAAAAGTGGTTACTTCAAACGGAGGCATGATGGAGCTCTACGCACCCATCACCGCTGAAAACATAACCAACGAGTTCCCAGGCCACGCCATATATCGCACACGTGACTTCTTCTCTCAACCTCTTCTACACAACGAAGAGCTCCACGCAGGCAACTTATATTATCTCCTGCCACTCAACGACAAGTTAACAAAGCAAAACACCGATCTGTCATCCTCTTCGTCATCTATAGTAACACCGTATCGCATGTCTCTTGATAATCAGAAGATATTAAAGAGAAGTGAGGCAGAAGTGTTACCAAGGTATAACAGCAGTGGTGTTTGGAAGGTTAAGCTGGTTATAAGTCCAGAGCAGTTGGCAGAGATATTGGCACAGGATGCTCGAACAGAAGCATTAATTGAGAGCGTGAGGACAGTGGCTAAGTGTGGTAATGCAGTCTCTTCTTCGGTGGCTAATTCCGATCAATGGAGTGTGTCTAGTAGTTGGAAGGGACTGTCAGAGAACCATGGTGTTGATACTTAGTGACACAAAATTGAACATCTTTTATTTTGCATTTGTATTTAACGTCTACCTTCGTTCATGGTTTATAATTATTCCAGTAAATAGCTATGATGTCTAGTAATTAACAATATTGCATCTGAATTTTGAAGTGATTTTTAAACCATATTCTTGATTCTCAGTGTAGATTTTTTGACTTTCTGAAGTTGATAATTGTGATATTTAATTTCCCAGTTAAATCTTTACTAATAGTTCGTTAAAAAAGGTTATGATCAAAATGAAAGAAGAAACCGTAAAATACATAGGTTGTGAAATCGGTGAAGAATACAAGTTGACAATTGAGGTTTACTAGCTAGCTATCTATTCCTTTAGAGTTTATCAGATGCAATTCTTATGGAATTTTCACATCAATTCTCCATTATAACTTACGACGAAATGGTGACCATTCAGAATGTTTTAAGTAGGTTTGGCAAACCGGATGTGTGTATTTACCCTTACCCAGTGAGGGAAAGACCCCTCCAGTTTGGTACCAAAATTTCATTACGAATTTGTTTTCACTATGACATAACAAACAATATACTACTTTTTTTTTTTTCTTTTTTAATTAAAGCTCCTCTCTTGGCCATGAAAAGAAATAACATAGCTATAGTAGGAAGGATAAAGAAAATAATTTGGTAAATTTAATAAGAAAATTAAACAAAATATATCTTTGATATTTAAAATTAGAAGTAAAAGTTTATTTCTGTCAATCGTTTGAGGAGTTATAACCCTTTTTTCTACCAATTTAAGGTTTTAGTATCTAACATAATTACTACAACATTGATTGCTTAACAATGTTGGACTTAATAAGATTGTTAAAATTTTACCAAACGATTTTATAACCTTTCATAAACATTCATACCAAACATAATTTTCAACTAATCAAATTAAATCATATTCAACTTACCTGTATAGAAAAGGAACTTTGAAATACCCAAAAAAAGGGAAGTTTGAAAATGTTTTAAAAGGTTATAATTGTGATTTATTACACCTATATATGCACTAAAACAAAATAATTTTCTCTAAATTTGCGAAATACCATATTAAGACTTTAAAAAATAAAACTGTAAAATTAGTAAAAATAGAAGAATTTTTTTTATTAAATCAAATGCATATACACATATATTCAAAAGTCAAAACATTTGATTATTTATAGAATTATAAAGTTGATTTTATTATAAATCTATTTTCAAAACTTTGATAATAGAGGTGTAGTAGTGCCCTTCTTACAAGAACAATCTTATGCGAGTTTTGGATCTCAGTGAACCATGCTATTGCTGCCCCAACCCAGACAACATTAGATCAAATCCAAGAGCATTAGGTCCAAAGACTGCACTCTTTCGAATACAACAACACTCTGCTCCTTCTCCTCTGGATTAGGCCCAACTATCTAATTGCTTATTTTCCCCCTAAAATTTACAGATTAGGATAAACGGAATCTTGGGCCTAGTTGGACCTAACGCTCAATGTTTCCAAAATATACCTACTAAATTTCTAAATAAACTCCAACTTTTAATTTAAAATCCCTGTAGATATCCAAAATGATCCACGCTTTAAGTGCATAAATTTCCTTTTAACTTATCCATCTCACCATTTTTAAAACAGCTAATAACAAGTTTTGGGAGCAATTGATGGCTATACTAGTTGGGAATTGGCTACACAACAAAACATAGCATGTTTAAACCCTAAGGGATTGGTCTAATAGACGGTTTGCTCCCTTCAATTGACTTCCTGAGTTCAAACCATCTTAGGGTCACCTATTACATCTATGGTTTACTTGAAGTGGAACATTGAGCTTGTAGAGTGTTCAATAAGTCTTGAGGATAAATTGAAGAGCATGCAAGCTGGTCCAAATACCCCAATTTAAAAAAAAAAAAGAAAAAAAGATACAAAAAAACATAGCATGTGCTAAGCTCTTGGCAGGTAATGATAAATGATGAACTGATTAATGTCATTATCAAAATGGGAGCATATTCGTACCACTGGGCAATAGGAATTGAAGAGGGTGCTCATGCGACTATTGAACTCTATATTTTGTCCTTTTTCAACTAAAGGTAAAACTAAATATAATTAAAAATTTAATATTAGGATGTAATTAGGAATTAGGTGGAGCATTCACAATGAACATCACCCTTTTGCTTAAGCAATAATGCACCCACTGGACGGTCCATTGATAATTTTGGTAGGAAAAAACTGGGACATATTAATAAGAAAAGATAAGATTCGAGGTGGGAGCAAAATCTACTCTCCACCAATAAACCATATCTTTTATCAAAAACGTAATAATTAATTATAAGCATTTTAATTCCACATTTGTCGATTTCAATTGTCTGCTAGATGTGAGTGTGACAAACATTATATCGTAATTAGACACGTATATTGAAAAAGCCCTAATTTTGATAGGTTCTTTTTTTGTTTTTACATAGAGAGAGCGATATCAATCTATTTAAAGTCCAATACTTAGGTCATATTATGTCAACCAGCAAGAGGTCACCAAACCGCCACGTTAAACACGTTCATGTATAGTGCAAAATTCCCTGGCAAGCGCAATGCTTTAAAAGCATATAATGTTGGACAGGCCAGGCGTATGTTTTCTTCTTCAAGGTATACAACATTTCATACATGATCCAAAAATAGATTTAGTTATCTAAAGTTCTATGTATACCTAACTGTTTGCATGTGGACAATTTGATTCATAAAGTTAAGACAGTACAAGCATGCTTTAATGTTCTTTGCTTCAGCTGGGTTTTTGTTCATCCATATATTAGTTGACGTTCATATTCGTCTCTTAAGTCTGCTTTTATATGCGTGCGTATTGTTGCTGAGTTAACTCACAAACTTATCTGAAACTGTATTTATATATTGCCAGACTTTCTTGGTGTCTTTTGCTTGCCAGTCAACTATAGTACAAGATGCATCATAGTATTCTTACAGTGGATGCGGTTCACGTCAAAATTTTCATGCAGTTTCTACTTGGGACCAAGGAATCCATAAGAACAGATGATTCATAAACGACATGAAATAAACACTACAGTAATATTCGTCCATCTCCAAGCTCAACTTATTGGAAAGTAAAATTTTTCCACAAAACCTGACTAAATAAAATAAAAGCTGTAGCATTGGTTGACAGTACTGCAGCATTGTTTGACAGTACTTGAGAGTAAATATAATGAGCCCATGAAATATTGAATGATACGGTCAACAAATCATAAATGGTATAAACAACTTTTGACAGGACCATGGCAACAAACCATAACCACCAACATACAGTACTCCATTGTCAAATAAATTCTAGAATATGCATATGCTTGATTTGTTCTCCTCGTTTTTCATGTTTCAACAACTCTTGTATCCGTAACTAACAAAGATGAATTGTTTTTGCATTAAATACGATAATTAGACAGAAGTTTAACTATTTTGTTTATGTATAATCATTTCTCTTGAAAACCTAGCTTTTCAATCAAAGTGTGACAATTCTCTATTTCTTGGTATCTGCAAGGATGATTAACTATGAAATCTTGATTAAATATAACTAACCATGTGCATAAATATTATATAAGAATTGTCCCACACACTCAACAGACAACAAGGGATATAAGTAACCATTGTTGTTATTCGTGAACCCCCAAAACGGGAAAAAAGTATATTAATTGGTATAACAGATGATCGTGCTTGTTGCTATTGGGCACGCTTTGGTTTTCGCCAAACGAAACGATGATAGGTTGAAGAAACGTCCGTCTTTGAAATTCAAAATATTCTTAAACAGAGAAAGCTAGTGGAAATAATTGGTGGTAGGGCAGTTGACACATACATATAGGGGTTGATCTGAATGAAAGAACTTAATCTTTCGGCATAGTTAGCTTTGAATTTGTGGGCAAATATCTATTATTAGCAGCCCCAGCAATGGCATCTTCTCTCATTTCATCTCTTTTTTAGTGGTCCCTTAATAACAAAATGTTCTCCACATGCCATTTATAATATGAAATTCACTGCTGAATAATTGCTACTTTGATGTTAATATATCTCTCTTTCTGAAAGATGCTTTGCCGATATCATTTTCAAATCCAACATCAAGAAAAAAAACATTTATATATATCACTGTCAATATGATGCTGGAGGAACCCTAGTATGGCTGCTCAATGCAAGATTGAGATGGAGATAATAAAAATTATATAATCATATGCAATGTACGTATTTGCTAATCTTGTCGTGGGAATTACAAACCCTTGAATCATTTTGATGAATTACAGGTAATGATTCGACTAAATAATTAATTAGATTATAATTTCATGGAAGATATAGATGTTAAGATTATGGAGCAAAATTCAATCCAAACTAGTATTGTATTAGAACATGGATTTTCCTGATATGATTTTGTAAAATATTATTTTTATTTAGGAATACGATTAAGAATAGAAATATAATTGTAGTAAGAATTAAAATAAAAGTTCTATTAGAAATAGTTCTCATATATTACCTATAAAAATCAGTCAAATCTTAAAGTTAGGTAATTGAACTCAATAAAAGACACTACCACAATTAGAGAGTCAGAACCACCAAAAAGATGTTTAGTGAGAAAATCAATTTGTGAAGTTTGTGAGAAACTCTTATAATTTTTCTTCTTCATATATAATAAAATTCTGCAACGACAAATTAGACGTAACTCTTACACGAAGAGTGAACTATTATAAATCTTATGTTATGTGTGTGGTTGATTATTTGTTATTTGTTCACTTTATTTTTGCTTCTATAGAGATTTAGAAATTCCTAGCATCCGACTAAATCCTCACACCAATAGAGGCCAGCAAAATTTGGGAGCTTGAATTTTGAAAACGTTACCACGGGAAAAACCGTCCTTTGGTCAAGTTATAGTTTTACACTAAAATGAAGTTACGGACCTTTTCCATCAGTTTTATTACAAAGAAATTAATAAAACGACAAGTAAAGAATTAATAATTTGTTGAGATGTGTCATAAAATTATATAGCATGTACACATTTTTCTTAATAATTAATGCGGAAGTTCCTCTAGTATAAACTTTGAACACCTATATATAACAAAATTGATAGCCCAAAAACATTGTACCACCAATATAGCATGTTGTTGATACTTGAT